ACAATTATGCATTAATAATTTAATGAATGTATAATTAACGATATTAATAATCATGTTTTAACCAGCCAAAATATGTATATGATTTTATCCTTTGTTTTATCACTTTTCCCCAAATTATAAAAATAATATTTTTATAGTTAATAATATGAGAAAAATATGACAGGTAAAAGACCTCCCATCTATCCTTAGTACATGCTTGTAAAGTCAATCACAGTGAACAATTTCTTGTATCTACTTTGAGAGATTTTTTTAAGTTTATATATAAGTGCAGTTTCTATATATTGTATATTCATTTTTATGCAGTATTCATTTATTCATGTTTATGCAGATAAGATCATACCATGCATGCTTTTATGCTTTGAAAATTACTTTTATATTCATCAATGTATTTGGAGTTTATCTTCTTATTTCTAATGTTTAAAATTTTCCATAATTTATAGACCAGGAACTTTTGAAGGACATTTAAACCATGTCCAGTTTTTTGTCACTCTAACAAATGAGGTGACAACAACTTTACACATATTTGCAGGTGCACAATTTTCTGCTCAATGATTCATGGCCAAGTGTTAAAATCAATACTTGGCTTGGGCTTTCACAGAATAACTTTCTGGCATATAAAAATAAATCTTATATTTTGTCTGAAGGCAATTCTTTTCATTATAATTTAATATTGAAACCTTATTATGTAAATATAACACAAGGACATTATAGTGTAAGAACATTAATTACTCAACAGGGCGGGTGGTATATTACTCTTGTGATCATAATGCTGCAAATTTTCCATACGAGACAAACACTTCCTCTTCCTTGTGGGAGAGTAGAGAACAAGATATTTTTGGATGCTTCACTTTTCTTTAATCCCTTCTTATTCATATTCTTTAACAACAGTGAAACATTCTTCCTTATTAAATATGATTTTTCATGAATTTTTCTCCTTTATGATATTTTGAGGTGGCAAAATTGATATTCTGCTGCTAATTTATCTTTGTAAAATGTGAAAAATTCCCCAATAGAATTCATCTTAAGAGACTTAAATGGAAATTAAGTGTCAAAAATCATTTATTTCATTTTTAAAGATTATTATGTCTAACAGAGGTATTCTGCAAAGTTTAGAATTATGATACAATTAATTTCTATTACATTTGTATTACTTTCTCAAATTTTATAAATGTATGTTAAGTATATTATTTAAATTTTTATGAATGATTTTATCAAAGATATTTCACTTTTTAAATAGTGTATCTACTATCAATGTCCTTATTAACTTTATAATTTTAAAATAAAGAACTTTTATAATAAAAGTTTCTATTTAATATTAGTTAATTATTAAATGAAGTTCTTGATATTTAACTTTGTATATAAATTTAGCAGGTTTTTCAAAACCATTACTGTAGCATTTTATTATTGATAATACATATAGATTTATATTTCATCACACCAAAAAGAGTTTCAACATACAAATCATGTAAAGAGTTTTTTGATTCAATTTACAGGTCAAATGCTTGATTATATTTAAACAAATGTACAAATATTAATAAATTCAAACAAATGCTAAGTTTATATTATTGACATTGGTTAAATAAGATGATTACCTATGTGATTACATGAACAATGATGACACACAAATCATGGGGCTCCAGAAATGACCTACAGGTAGACATTCAGCTGTTTGGCCTTCCAAAGATAGAGGGTAAGGCCTCCGTGAAAATGCAGATTCTGATGATAAGGTAGCCTAGAGGCAACGGCACATCTCCTACCTTTGTATACTTGTTTGATTATAGTCACAGGATAAATTGCTAATGGTAGAATTGTCTTATTAAAAAGTATACATGTTTAAAATTTATAATAGACAACAATACATTGCCATCGAAGAATTCTGTACCAAATTACACGCTTACCTAATAGTATATAACTTACAAGTTTCTCTAAACCCTTACCAACATTGGACACTATCAAACTTTAAAATATCCCATCTGAGAGGCAGAAAATGTTATCTCAATTTTTTTGCATTTCATTAATTACAAATGAAGTTAATAATCTTTTAGTTCAATTTGTTTGTCTTTATTTTCTTATAAACTCTTCATAGCTATAGATAATTTTGGGGAGGGTGTATTTCATCTGTTTCTTATTGATTTGTAAAAGTACTTTACATATTTAGGAATTATCCATATATTATTCACATGTGTGGCAAATATTTCCCCAGTTTATTGTCTTTGACTTTATTTATTTATTTATCTATTTATTTATTTAGTGGTGGTTATAGAAGCTTTTACAGTTTCAAGTAGTAAAATTTATTAAGATCTCCTTTATGACTTCTTTATGCTGTGCTATGCTTAGAAAAGATTTCTGCACTTCAAGATGATAAATTATTCACCAGTATTATAAAATAATATTGAAATTTATTTTATGTGAGAATTGACATAGGAATCCAGCTTTAATATTTTATAAGTGGTTATTTATTTTTACACATATAACTGAAATACACATCTGTTTTGTACATCAAATTCCCTTTTTACATATTTACATTACTACTGGACTATTCCTTCACTACACTCAAAATTATGTTATTATTGTAGTGTGTTAATGTGTTTAACTATTTGGTAAGACATATACACTTTCATTGCTTTTAGTTTCCACACTTTTGTTCTGCATCACAGGTTTATGAGAAAAATTTAAAGTCATGTTTCAAAAAATAATATTTTAACATAGAAATACATTGAATTTGTAAACTAATTTAGGAATAAATGACACTTTCACAGTATTCA